CTTTTTAAGTTTTATCACCAATGCATTAATCTCTAGAGTATCACAAGAAGCATCCATAAGGCTGGTTTCTTTCAGGATTACATTTTGCCATAATTGCCCAGCTTTGAAGTTGCTTTTAAAAGCATTTGCATCACAAGGAAACAAAATTAATTCCAATTTACAATGGCTTTTGTTCCTAGGGACTCTATTTTATTTCCCCCTTCTTGTTTTGTCTTTGTGGCTTTATGCCCATGTATTCAGGTTTATAACATCAGAAATCAAAACAAAGGATGCCACTGAATGTCGTCCAAAGTTGTAAATTGAAATGTTTGAACTTGTTAATGCATTTGGTATGGTTATTCAGTATTCCAGTTTAACTGAATTGCATCTAAACTTTGGACAGGAATTCAATGACACCAGCTTGTATTTTTTTATATATATATACACAATGAATGCTGATATATTCACTCCCCCGTTTTTGTATACATGAACATGTAACACACAAATATATTATAAAATGTGTTAAGAAATGTATTAAAATATAAATTTACAAGAAAACTATAAAACCAGCCCAACAATTGGAATGTCTTAAAGGGAATCTGATTTAATGGGACAAAAAAAGTCAACATGGCAATTACAATGACAACCACACAATAAAATCCCTGTCCCTTTTTTATGTGCATTACACATGTAACAAAGAGCATGGTTTTGACTGTGCAATATAATTCACCAGCTAGGGTGGTTGAAATCACAAAAGGAAGGATGCAAATTTTTAATGAAGAAGATTGAGCATTTGATCACATCAATGGGATCACAACATTGAATTTCACTGCATTTATCACCAGAACCAACCTAATAGCCACAAAGATGCAAAAAAACCCAAAGAAAGCAAAAATGAAATGGCCTCCAAACCCGGGGAAAGCATTCCCTACTTAAGATGGCATCTCCTCAGGTCATAGGCAAATGCTGGTAAGGAGTTTCTTTGGATCATATTGTATGGACAAAACATTCAGGAGATCATTAAGCCTTTACAAATCTGGATCGGAATTTCTGATCCAATTCTGATTGGCTTGGAATACCACTGTTTAGATTCCTTTAGGCAAATGTTTTCTGGATTAATGAGAAACTCCAAATATGTATTTTAAATTATAAATAGAGAAAAGTGATTTTGATTATTTCCTTTCCCTTCCTTCCTTCCTTCCTTCCTTCCTTCCTTCCTTCCTTCCTTCCTTCCTTCCTTCTTTTGAAATATGATCTTCATGAAGACTGGAAGCACTGTGACTTCATGGGTGTTGCTTTTTTTTCACTTCCTTGCCTACTTTCCCAGCAAATGATGGAAGCTTGAACTTTATCTCAGACTTTATCATGGCTCAGCTTATTTATATCTCCTTGGGGTTTAGTTGGAAGCTAATTCAGCACAGCGCTATGATTTAATGTACTATTGCTCTGCAGCAGAACATTGCCATCAGATGGCTTTTCCCTCCTATAGAGCTCCTTCTACCACCTCCAAATAACACCTTCCCCATCTCCAAAGTTTTCTGCCTCTCCAACTTTTGTTCTGGCTTCTTTATGTCCACAACCACTGTGCTTTTCTGCCCACCTCAGCTCCAACTTTCTTCATTGCATAGAGAGAACACTTTTTAGCCAGGCTGGTCATCTCCATTTCTCCCATGACTTAGGACAGGAGTGTCATACTGGTGGCCAGTGGGCTGGATGGTCATGTGCAGGCCACGTCCACCCCAGCTCCATGAAGGGAAAAGTAATGTGATACATCATGTGACAGCAATGTGATGCCACGAGTTTGACACTAGTGGCTTAGGGGAATGCCACTAATTTTGGGGGTGTTGTATTGATAGCTGGGCCATACTATTCAACTCCCCCATAACCAGTAAGGCTTAAGTGGAGATTACAGTGATGCAATCTGCATTATTCTCATACACACATACCACCAGATTCCTAAACTCAGGGCCTTCTAAGAGGATTAATGACATCTATATCTGTTGTTGGGGAATGCAGATGTTGCCAATGAACTTCCTACAATCTAGAGCACGAGGGATGGATGTGTAATGTGATTCCATGTCAATTTTTCTCCAAATCTCTCATTCTTCTTTGATAGCAGCTGTTCTGGTACAGCTAGCTCTGGACAGTAATGACTTAGATGAGGGAATAGAAGGGGAACTGACCAAATTTACAGATGATACTAAGCTGGCAGAATAGGTAACACCCAAGAAGATAGACTCAAGATCCAGATGGATCTTGACAGACTAGAACACTGGGCCGTATCTAACAAAATGAAATTCAATGTAGAGAAAAGTAAAGTTCTACACTTAGGCAAGAAAAACCAAAAGTACACATATAGATTGGGTGAAACCAGGCTCAATAGCAGTAACTGTGAGAGGGATCTTGGAGTCCTAGTGGACAACCAGCTAAATATGAGCCAGCAGTGTGCAGCAACAGCCAAAAAAGCTAAAGCAATCCTAAGTTGTATTAACAGAGGGATACAATCAAAAACAAGGGAGGTACAATACCACTCTATAAAGCCTTAGTAAGACCACACCTAGAGTACTGCATCCAGTTTTGTTCACCACATTATAAAAAAGATGTTGAGACTCTAGAAAAAGTACAGAGAAGAGCAATCAGGATGATTAGGGGATTGGAGACTAAAACATATGAAGAATCGTTACAGGAACTGGGCTTGGCTAGTCTAGTGAAGAGAAGGACCAGGGGAGACATGATAGCGGTCTTCCAATATTTGAGGGGCTGCCACAGAGAGGAAAGTGTCAACTATTTTCTAAAGCACCCAAAGGCCAGACAAGGAATAATGGATGGAAACTGAACAAGGAGAGATTTAACCTGGAAACAAGGAGAAGCTTTCTGACAGTGAGAACACTCAACCAATGGAACAGCTTGCCCTTGGAAGTTGTGGGAGTGCCATCACTTGAGACTTTCAAGAAGAGATTGGACTGCCATTTGTCAGAAATGGTGTAGGGTCTCCCTCTTGGGCGGGGGGTTGGACTAGATGACCTACAAGGTCCCTTCCAACCCTGATTATCTGTTATCTGTCCTAAATAATGATGGTCATAATGCAGGTCACCATTTGAACAGACCTGTTTTTATGACCTTTTTGGTGATGATTGTTAAACGAACACAATAGCCATTCGCTATGAGCCAGCTTTTGCCTGAAACTGGAAGTAAACATCAGTTTTTGGTAAAAACCATTGTAAATTGTGATTATGTAACCATGGGGTGCTGCAAAAAGCCCACAATGCAGATCAGTTGCAAAGCTCCCAAAATATGACCACAGGGGTGGGCCGATGTGAGAACTTCAAAACCCAGTCCTTTTTCAGGGGTCTGTTGTAACGTGAAGCAATTCTAAGCAACCGGTCATAAGTTGAGGATTATCTGTACAGAAAGAAACCCCTTTGAACAATAAAAGGATAGGTAGGATTAATAGGTGGGGTGTCTTCTTCCCATTCAAGATAATTGATGGAGTGAAAGTCGTGCATCTGGAGACTTCAAAGTGAATGAAATTAGCATCTACAAGGAGCAAAGCACGTAGGTGCTTCATAAAAAAGCAAATATATTTCTCTGTACTCTATTTATAGTCATAATTTGGTAAATAATGGTGCATTCCGTGCATAAAATAGCAGGAAATGACAAGTAATAGTCTTGAAATAACTGCATGGGAAGTTTGAAGTAACAGAACAATTCAAAACTTTATTTTTGATTATAATTTTCTGTCATATGAGCCCTTATAGTACATCTTCTGCCAGTAGTTTGCTAGGGTGGCTTGTGTCATTTCCAATCTTGTATATTGTAGGGCTGAACATTGGAAATTGTTTGGAAGAGCACAGCACTTTTCTGCCATTCATTCAGGAGGCCCCTCTTTTTTTCTGGCTCTTGTATGTAACTGGGGGGGAAATGGTGTGACTACTTTAAAGAATCAGTTTTTTTAATACTCAGCTTTGAAAGAAAAAGCATAGACATCTTTTTTTCCCAACTCACAGTTGAGTTGTTTTGATGTGTAGTTGCCCTTGTGCTAACATGAACACCACATCAATTTTGAATCTTTTTTTTTTTTTTGATGTACTTCCTGGTTGCAGGAAATGTCCAAATGGCTTCACTATTTTTTAAAGCTGAGCCAGTTTCCTCAATATTAATCCGAGCGATGTGACCATGGAAATGACTTTGAGGAGGCTCAGGGTTTACATTCGCCAACATTGTCCTTGCCAATCTGCAAATCAAAGTTCAGTCCTGAGTGCATGCTTTCACTTATTTATTCATATTTATATTCTACTTTCCTCTAAATGTAGTGCCAGAAAAGCTCACAATAACATGAGAATAAAATGACATTATAATTAAAACCACCAAACTTAGAAATGGGTTGAAAAAAGGACATCCATTAGAAATAAACAACTCTTTACTGGTCCAAATACAAAGACTGTTCATCCTTTCTCTTTCCCTAAACTATTGTCATGCTGAATCCGATGAGGAATCCGAGTCTGAATCCGATGAGAAAGCTGACAGCTGAAGGGAGTGGAAATGTGGCTCCGTTGGCTGTGCAGGAAACTGGGGAAGGGCAAAGTCCAGCTGGGCAGAGCAGGGAAGAGGTAGAACAAGGGAGAGGAAATTCAGAGGAAGACCCAGGCCCACCCCCTCTTCATCCTAGGGCACGCAGGGAGGAATGGAGAAGGGAGCAACATAGCCAGAAGGTAACCTGGACATTGGGGGCAAAGTTGGAGATAATAAAGAGACTCTTATTGATTATCTGACTGTGTTGCCTTTGTGCCACACCCCAGATCATCACAACTATATTCTTATTTCTTGTTGGACCGATTTTCCATTTTTCATTGAATCTGTTGTCCTTTTGCACATTGGCGTAGGCCAGGAGCAGATGATGAACACATTTGATTAAATGAGTACTATGAGGCCATGGTAGGAAGGACAGACGTTCCCTTTTCCCTGAGTAAAGAGTTATGTGCAGGGATGGGCTTCAAATTTTTTAGCAAGGGGCTCTCTGCCCTAATAACTGGCTGGGTGGGCGTGGCTGGGTGGTCATGAGACTGGGTGGGTATGGCCAACTCGGCATGGATTCTTTGCCCTAATTAACTAAAAAAGATATATACCAAAAAGTTGTTTATTATTTCATGCATGTAATACTTAAATAAAAGACTGGGTGAAATCAGACTTAATAGCAATGACTGTGAGAGGGATCTTGGAGTCTTAGTGGAGTTTCTGGTGAGTTACGTGATTCTTATTATTGGGGAATTAATCCCCTTGGAGGCTATGTGGCTATGTTATCTGATTTTCTCAATGTCTCTTCCTTGCAAGTGCTGAGTGGCTCTTAGCTGAATGCCCAGAAGTTTAATTACGCCTATTAAGAGCTTTCCCTTGCTGCTTGTTTTTCAGATGTTATTGTGGGCTCTCTGAGCACCACAGATTCTTAGCTAGGGGCTCTCCCAAGCCTCTGTGAGCCCCCAGCAGCCCACCCCTGGTTATGTGATAGTTGATGCCCACCTCTGATGAACAGTGTGGCAAGTTTCTATCTTTACATGCTGTCACCTTAGAAAGATGGAAGGTATTTTTCCATCCCTTTACCATCTAGGAAGCTGAGAGGAGAAGAAATATGGAAAGGTGTTCTATTGGTTGTTTTCTTCCTCATCCTCATTGCTTGTTAACCAAGCCTGGAGACTAAAACATATGTAGAACAGTTGCAGGAACTGGATATGGCTGGTCTAAAGAAAAGAAGGACTAAGAGTGAGATGATAGCAGAGTCCCAGTATTTGAGAGGCTGCCACAAAGGGGAGGGGGGGTTCAACTTAATTTCCATGGCACCAGAAAGCAAGACAAGAAACAATGGATGAAAACTAATCAAGGAGAGAAACAATCTAGAATTAAGGAGAAACTTCTCAACAGTCAGAACAATTAATCAGTGGAATGACTTGCCTCTAGAAGTTGTAGGTGCTCCAACACTGGAGATTGTTAAGAAGATATTTGACAACCATTTGTCTGAAATGGTATAGGGTTTTCTGCTTGAGCAGGAAGTTGGGGTAGTTCCCTTCTAACTCTGTTATTCTGCTAATACAAACAATATTGCATTATATAGGAATATACCACACCCTGATGATGATTCTTCTATTGTTTCCCCAATTCACTACTCTCTGTTGGATAGCATACATAGGGGATTGGAACAGAAGACCTCCAAAGTTCCTTCCAACTCCATTCTGAACTAACTGGAATAAATTCCATCTCCTTCCTGGCATTTTTAAAAAATAAAATGAGGATCCATGCTCAACCTATAATGTTGTAAGCCAGCTGCACCTGCTTGTGTTACTTCCCTTTTATTTTTTCCACTGCAGTCAATTTAGCAGGTGTCCACCATCATTCAGCAATTTCTTTTTTCCTTTAGGAAATACTGGGGATTTTAAAGATCTTTAATAGAAAACTCTGGATTTCTACCTAGTGGCTTTATGCAATGCCATGTAAAGGGAATAACTGGAGATAAGTGTTTGCATGTTTCTAAGTATCTTAATACCTGGAAAGGTCTACTTGAGAACATACTGATTTTCAAAGGCCTATATGGCTTTATAGACAAAAGCTGCTTTTTCAGTTGTTCCTAGAAATGCACCAATGCACTCCTAGAAATGTAGTCAAAATGTTGTAATAAGCGAATTTCTTCATTAAATTTACAAGCCATCCAAGGTTCCATCATAAATCTGGATACAGCATGAAACAGTAAGGTAGAGTAATACAAAACCTTACAAGAACAAGTGTCTGGAAAAATGAACCAGGAAGTACCAAATCAAATATCCCACAAGACATCTATGTGCCTCTTTAAGCCAAGACCTGAAGGTAGACTAGATTTTAAGAGCTCATTTGAATAGGAACTAAGTGCAAAGCCATATAACTCTGGGATATTACCCCAGAGCAGGGGTGTCCAACTGGCAGCCTGCGGGCTGGATGCATCACGCGCAGGCCACACCCTCTCCAGCTCCACAAAGGGGGAAAAGTTCATGAAATGTCATGTGACACAATGAGTTTTACACCCATGCTCCAGAGGGTGGGCACTGCAATAGAAGCAACTCACTTCCTGGGTCCCATCAAATGGCACTATTTCAGGGGTCTTCAAACTTGACAGCTTTAAGACTTGTGGACTTCAACTCCCAGAATTCCTTTTCCAGTCATGTTAGCTCAGGAATTCTGGGAGTTGAAGTCTACAAGTCTTAAACTTGTCACGTTTGAAGACCCTTGATGTAACGGATAGGATTTGAAGCATGAAAACTATCTATGCTGTATTGTAGAAAATAAGAAAAAACCTGGGGATAAATGGTCCATTAATAACCAGGGCCTGTACCATGAAGAACTATAATTTGTTCCAGTGTATAAAAGCATGCATTACAATTTGTAAAATTGGAGCAGGTATGGGGAGATAACTGGATGCCATCAACACTGGGATAGTAACTGAACTCCCATTCGACAGATATCTTATTATGGAGTCTCATGAATATGTTAAATATCATAGACAATGAGATGAATCCTCCCCAATGCCATAAATCAATAGCTTTTGCATCAAGCATATGAATTCCCAGAACAACATAGTAAAAAAAAAAAAAACCAATCATTGGGATTGACTTTGTATCAACCATGCCAGAGGTCATGTTCCAATTCAGTGGCCTTTTTCCAATGTCAGGTATGATTTGCAATAAACATTCTGAAAACACCATAGGGATTCACCATCTCCTTTTCCTTCTGTTCAAGTTGATAGTTCTCCTTGAGTGTTATGTGAATTTAACTTCTTATAAAGGCTTCAGCCTCTGCTGGCCACTATCAGATCTGGTTTTCTTATACTTAGCAATTGGATGTAGGAATTGGTTTGCAACTTTAAATCCCCCATAAGGGATACTGCATCTGGGATACTGCAAATAATGAAGATGTGGAGGAGGTTCATAGGTAATGCTGCTTCCATACAATCCTTGTCCCCTTCGAAAAGTGTCAGTTTTAAGAGTGTTTTCTTTGAATTTTTTTTCCCCATTCAACACAGAAACATAATGGCAAGTGTTAGGAGGATGTGTATGCAAAATGAAAAGGCTCGCTACTTCTACTAGTCAAAGCTGAAGTGTTCTTGAGCTACTGTATTTCCATATATTACAATTTCAATTGCTCTCAGTACATTATTTGACAATGTACTGTTTTGTTAAGCTATACAATGGCAAGCAATTTTGGTAATTTTTATTCTTTTACTTCCCCTCACTTTGCTATATACTAAACATCCAAGAATAAGAAAGTTTGTGATAAATAAGCCAGAAAATGCTCATTGCTTAGTCAGGAAATAGTAACTTTATAGTTTTGTTTTTTTTAGAATAATGTTTATAGGAGGAATGTAGTTGGCTGTCTCATTCTTATGACAAATATCCCTCTGTTAGGGCATGTCAAATTTTTCAACTTTCAATTTCCAAACATTGGGGTGCTCAAAAGTTGGGACATGCCTTGGGGATTGTAAAGATATTTTGGTTACTTAAATATAATTTAGATATGCTTGGTAAGTAACTACATAAATATCATAACTTTTCAACATTTTGTTTGTTTCAGTCTGTATAGATGAAAATCAAAGAGTATACCCTACAGGTGTGCAGAATTAATAATTCCTAGAGCAGCAATAATAAAAAAATAATACAAAGTTCATCCATTTCATTCATTCTGCATTTAATATTGACTAACATCAGCACTGATGTTACCAAGTTTGAATAATGAAATGTCTGCAAGAAAACAATCAAGTCCAGAGAATACCAAGGACTTCTCATTTCATTTCAACCCTGACCTACAAATATTCTTCTTTATTGGTACCTATGATTGTTGCCTCCCTTTGTTTGCCCTACATTTCTCTTTCCTCAATAAAACTCTTTATTATATCCAAAGATTGGGCTTAATTGGTTTTATAAGGGTTTCTCATTAAAATCTTCTCCATACCTCTCCACTCCAAGATTGCACTGTTACTATTTGCACTTCAAGATTAACAAAGGGTTGAGTCCATTCATGGATGTCATGGAGAATAATGTATATTAGCTTTCATGGCAGTGTAAAACTCCAGTACTAGGATAGGAGGCTAGTGGGTCTCCTTGTGTTGGTCAATGTGAGAACAGACTGCTGGATTAGATGGGTCAAGGGTCTCATCCAGCAGGGTACTGCTTAGGTTCTTATGGCATAACATGCATTTTTTGGCTTTGAAATCATCTTTGGATCTGCTCAAAAGAACTCCTGGATAGAAGGGGTAAGAAATGTCCAGCTGGACAGATCATGTCAAAAGGTTTAGGTTGGTGGTAGCAGCCTATCATAATTATACTTTTATTGAGAAACTTTGGAAAAAAGAATCTACTAGGATAGTTTTAAAAGCCCCCTTTTTGTTTTCTTCTTGTATAACACTTACTGGAATAAGTTTACACCTCAGAATGACCTTACTAGGCAATTTCAGGGAGTTGTTGAATAACCCAGGGATAAATCAAAGCCTTATAGATACTAAATGTTGAAGCACCATAGGGATCATGGAGGAATCACAAATCTCATCTTCCTGTAATGGTGGTAATTAGTGGAACTAGTCTAAGACCATTTGGGATTTGCTCCAGGAGGATACGATGTTTAGTGGTAGCAAAAGCCAACTATAGTCCAGGAGAATCAATAGGGGTTATGCTCTCCCTGTCTCTTTCCAGGCAACAGAGTGGCCCATATAGTTTTAATGGCAGAACCGGACCTAAACCTGATTTAAATGGATATAGAAAAATCTTTTTCATACAGATCTGATCAGCCAATGCATGCTTGAGAACCTTGAGCAGGAAAATAATACGGTATTGGTCTTCCCCATATGTGTAGGACTAGAAATTATAGGATTTGAATCCAATATACATGAAAGCCACAGAATAGAGACTATAGGCTTAGGATTTAATTACTATATTGTTCTACTTGTTTTCTTAAAAAAAGAAAACCTTTTCCAGAGGAAAGCACATATGAATTGCCCATCCCATTTGGTTTTTGAAACTTATTAAAATACATTCAGTGAGCCAACATATAACCTGTGGCCCATGTTCATCTTGACCTTCTTCTAGCCTATTGCTCCTTATAGGAAAATTGAGAAGTGGCT